GTTTGCAGCCCCTCCTTGTGTGGTATCTCTGGGGCTTTTCCTCCCCGTTGGATTCCTGTTGTTCCAAATGGCCTCTTCCATGAGGTTCTGCAGCCGGGATTTGTTGTCCCTGGTCTCTGTTATGAGGAAAAGAGGCTTCCTGGTTCCCCTGGCAATACTGGAACACTGCTGGCTTGAACTAAGTACTGATATTGAAATGTTAATTAGCTAATTGCTCCTGGGGATCACCTACACCCCCACCCACACTGCCATTCTAGGACTAGGATACAAACTAAGGAAACCCATGGACTCATGGGAGGGGGTTTTGGGGATGAAAACACCCCTTAAAAGGAAGGCTGGGCACAGTGGAGGGGACTGGACAGATGCTCTGGCTGGGGAAAAGGGAACCACGTCCCTAATCGATGTTTGACTTGTCACCATAGCCTGCAGAGTAATGGACTAGACTGGCATGTGGGAAGCAGTAATAAAGGAGTAGCTTTTCCTGGTGTTACCAGAAGGAAAGGAGAGGGGACAATTGCTGCTGGACTTCAGCAACAGACTGCACATCCCCTCACCTTTCAGTTACCAGTGTGCTGTGTGGAAAGGAGAGAGGACAGTCTGCTGATCCGGGACTTCAGATACAGAGTTCAGGTACAGACTGCGTGCCTCTTCACCTCCGGCTACCTTCTGTCCACTGCTCAGTGCCTGGGGCAGGAAGGATAAGGAGAGGAAGAGTCTGCGAGAAGGGATAAAGGAAAAGGCAGGAGAGGAAGGAACAGGGAGGAAGGAGATGGGAAAAGAACATAGATGGATGGATGAAGAACTAAGATATGAGAGTTCAAAGAAGACCCTTAAATGCAGCTTTCCCCACGCCTCCCTGCTCCCAGCTGCACCTCCTCCCCCGGTAGTGGAGGAGACAGGGAATGGGGCCATGCTCAGCTCATCCTGAAGGAGAGATGGCAGCTGTCAGTCGGGAGGTGAGGGATCCTGCCTGTGGCTGCCACGGCTTGGACACGATGGTCCTTCCAAACAGGCATGGGAACAGGAGTGGCTCCATGCTCAGGGCTCTGTTTGTTGTTTTTATGAGCTGGAGAAGAAAGAGCCTCTACAGTGAACGGCCTGCCAGCATCACTGCACTTCTACTCTGATCTTTTTCTCTTTCCTGCTATTATGGTACCCTCTGTCTGTTTTGGTTTGTATTTGCTGTTCTCAGCTTTGCCTTGAACCGTTTGCCTGGAGCCTGTCTGCTCTGCACTCCTGGCCTGTCA